TGCAGGCAGACAGTGTTATTACCTGTCCGCTTGAATATTTGGCAGGGGCGCTGGTCAAGGGGGCGTGGATGGGGAGTTTGCTAAGCCGAGGGCGTGGCAAATTTCGTTGTAAGTACAACACATTGCACATTTGTTTGGGCAGTCCTAAGGGAGAGGGTGGTTGGTTTGTAGGTTGGCTGACTGGCTGGATGGCTGGCTGGGGAAACGGTGACAAATAACTTGGATGGTCCGGGAAGCGAGCTCCATATGCCCATGTTTTGTGTCTGCGCGTCCGTGTCTGCATTTTGCATTCGGCATTCTGAACCCGGGAAAAGGCACACCCACATGAGTGCTGGTGGGTGGGTGCATTATGAGATTTATGCGTAGTGACAGGAAGGCTGTTGATTAATTGAACTTTAATGAAAAGATTTATGTGGTTTCATTATTAAAAGCCAACTGGGAGCAGCAGGCAGACAGACAGACAGGTTATGGCCGCTGGGGCTAATTGCTCAGTATCAGTTTTAATTGCACTCAGAAAGGGTTTAAAAATGATTCAATATTCTCACTTGAAATCCGAAACTCACTCAAAAACAGATTTCATTTGTCATCGACGCTGGCATTTTATTCAATATTCCTGAAACGTTAGCCCAATTAATAATAAGATTCTTCATAAATCATTGGGAGTCAGATCTATAACTCATTATGTGAGCTTTTGCTCCACATTAAACAAAGATTTAAGACCCAAGGCAGCACCCAACTAATTGATATTCTCCAGAGATTATCGCTTTGAAATTTATGCGACAATATGTAAAATTTATTTTTTTTTGTGCTCGCGCGCTTCATTGTTTCTTGAACAAATTGCAAATGCAGCGGATTGTGCATATTAATTTTTCCAGTCGCTGACGTAGACAATTGTTGTTGCTTGTGGCACGAGCTGCATTTGGTGTTGTTTCAACTACTTAGGCGCCGCATCTGACAACTGGAACAATGCACTTTCAAATGATAATTGTTACAACTTTTATTGCTGATTCTGCAGGCAACTGTTGCCACTGTTGTCGCTAGCTGCTGGTTGCTAGTTGCAAGTTGCTGTTGCGGCGACAACATTTGCCGACTGGCTGGTTTGCCATTGGTATTATTATGATTATTGCATTGTTATTGGCCTTTTATTGCCTCTGCACTCGATTTTCTTGTCTTGGCAGCCCAGGAAAGCGGAAGACACTGGGGTATGCAAAGTGGAGTTGCCATTAGTGTCATTCCACCAATTGTTTACTGGAGTGCACTGGTAAAATAACACCTTTAAATTAAATTAATAGCATTATTTATTGAATATTTAAAGGAAACCTATAAATTTAAAATTTAAATTGTATTGTATACTTTATGAATCGTATGGATGCCTTTTCTTTCTTTAATGAAATCTGTAGTTTTTTTCTGTGCAGGTTCTACTGAATTTTCCATCATATTCTTTTCTGTTGCCGCTTGATTTTCCCTGTTGTTTTTTACGGTCGCTTTTCTTTTAGGAGTAGTTTGGGGCAGAAGCGAAGCACCGTTCGTTGTTCTTTGGATGTTGTCGACCGACATTGTTGCTGATATTGTCAGCGCATGTGGGAACACAAACAACAGCGTTTTGTTTTGTAAAAGCGTGCCGGGCCAAACATAACCGATGGATTGCATGGAGGAGGAGGAGAAGGGAGGAGCAGGAGGGGCTGCTGTGGGACCAAAGTTTGGCAGAAAAGGGGGCGGGGTCATGGCCCTATCAGGCGGCTACGCCCCCTTCCCGCCCTGCCGCTTAGACAAAACAAAACGTGGCACTTGGACACGATTTTTGCTGTTTGCGCCGGCCGTGTGTTTTGGTTTTGTTTAGCCAAACTTTTTTTTTTTTTTGGGCTGTCCACTTTTATTGTTTTGCGGTCTGCATATTATATTTGGTCATTCCATGTTTTACCAATATCATATTTGATTTTTTTCGATATTCGATTTTATTTATTGCCGCTGTTTTGCCCATTTTGGGCCTTTCGGCTATTAGAAATGAAATGTTTGGAGATTATGTGAGTTCAAACTCAAAAGCAAAAGTCATATGAAGGCTCGCCTATTGAAACTTTTTTAATATATAATTGACCAAAACTTTAAATGTCCCAAATAAATTATTGGCTTTTTATGATGGAATGGCTTGGGGAAATTAATCAGAGGCTGGGATATAAAATAGTGCCGGTTGACTTTGATGAGCTGTACGATGATCTCACTCATTGCCCACGTTTATCATGATTGGTCTTTGGCTGTTTAGACATTCCTCACAAAGCCATCCAGATAGCAGATCTCATTATTTCCATGCAATTTTGTTGGTTTCTATCTGGAGGCGATAATCAGCTTTGGTAACTTGTTTAGCATACGCAATTATATATACAATTATATCTGAATATGTAAATAGTTGTGTATGTTTGATATTTTAGATGTATAATTTCGCATTCATGGCTGGCAAGCTGGCTAGCTAATTGACACTTAACATGGCTTGGAGTATTTTGAAGTTAATTGTGTGTCGACGTCAACGATGTTACCACCACTCTCCTCCGTTAAAAACTCAAACATTTGTTGTTTTACCTACGAATTTTGTGTGTTTGTTTGTATTTAAATTGCCTTGTCGCTTGTTCAGTTGTTTCTCCTGCTGGTTTTGAATTTTACTGCATTTGATAGGAATTTTATTGATATATCTGCTTCTGCACAATAGTTTTTCGGCAAGGCATGTAAAATAAAATAAACTAAAACAATGAATTGTCTACCTTCTTCCATATCTATTATTATGGTTGTCCTTTATTAGCTGGTTACAAATTCATATAAAATGCTCCTTGCAAAGGTCAAAACATTCGACAGCCTTAATTAAAATCTGAAGTCCAAAATGGGTTTGATTTAATCATAGATTTTGTTATCAAAGAAAATATTGGTTTCATATTTTTTCCAGATTTTTGGTTTTTATTGAAAAGCATTCTCACATCCATATTTTGCGATGTATTTTGTAGGGGGATACTGTTCTGTTTGTTTTCTTTTGAAATATTTATTTGTCTTGGCGTTTTATTGCTTTCATGTCGGTAGTCCAATTTTCTATTCCATTTCAAAATACCGCCTGGAAAATTACCAAAATGGAGTATGCAAAATATTTAACAACTTTGTTCTATTTGCTTTGTCAGGCAATTGCGACCAATGACTGCGTCGAGTGCATAAAGCTTGACAACTTTTTATTGGTGAATGGGGACGATATTTTATTTTAGGTTGTGCACTTTTTGAGTTGAGTGTCAAGCATCCCGAGTGTTATAAAATGTTGGATAAGATAGTTTAATTTAAAGAATTTTTTGTTTGTTTTTTAAACCAGCTATTGAATTATTTAACCCAAAAAACAATTTCTGAATATAAATAACTGAAAATTAGTTGCTTCGTACTTACCGACCATTGACAAATGGAATTTGTGAGAGAATTGTTGGAAAATATCGCTGAGCGTTGGCATTGTCATTTAGGAAACAATTTGCCTCATTGCATGTTCAGAGATGCATAAATAATTAAAACGTTCGCATTAGTTTTTCATGCCACTCGCATGTTGTCAGCTCGAATTTCAATAAGCACTCTAATTGTTTTAAAGTGTTTTTCCAGCAGCGACAACAGCGCAATGTGCAGCGCAAATGAGCCTTAATTGCATAATTCTAATTTAGAGTCGAGTTCTAAGCACCAAAAACACGTTGACTACAATTTGTGCACGTGTGTGTGTGTGAGTGCGAGTGGGTGGCTCAGTGAGCCAGTGTGAGTGTGGTGTCATGTATGTGCACTCACTCATTTTACTTAATAACTCACTGCAGGTAGCTACTGCACGGGAGTTAAAGTTTGGCCAGGAAAATCGGTGGGGTTCGGTGGGTGGGTTAAGGTTTGCGGGTGGGTATAATGGCTCCGAGGGTTAACAACCACAATTGAGCGGGTGGTGGGTGGTGCTGAAAGGTGTCGGGACGTCGTCGGAAAAGTTTTACGTACTCGTAGCAAAGCCCAGGCGGCAGCAAGTGGCGCAAAATGCTTAGCAGCGAAAGTTGATAGTCAAAGATCAGTAGTCATATAGCCCACTAAATTAATAATGTTTTAATTTATCTTAAAATAATTCCCATAAATATTTAAATCTGTTTAAAGGGAAAATGAAAAAGAATTTAAACAAAGTATTAACTCTCTATAAAAGCAATTAAAATGAATCAGTATTAAATCATCAATAAAGCAACAATTTTATGTAAACCGATTATTTTCTCTACTTACTACTTCTCTACTTTGTCTTTATTTTCACACTTAAATGTCAAATACAAATATTTGCTTTCGATCGTGTGCAGTCAATGACGCGTCTTTTGTGAATCGACCTTGGAAAAATTATCGGATTTTATCTTGCAACTCGAGTGCGACAATTTCAACATGATTTCTATGTCACCTGCGCCGCAAAAGCATGAAACTCAAGTGGACATAAATGCATGTACACACAGACATAAAGGTGTGCTGTTTTGCGGGTGAGTGTGCATTTAAATCCTTATTGCGACACCTGCACAAAGCAAATACCAATTAAAGGCTTTTCACATGCAGTCGCATGCCAACTTTTCGATGGGTTGGTTGGGCGGCAGGAGGTGGCGAGAATTTCGTGTGTGTGCAAGGGAACCGCTTTTGTATGCCATTAGGTGGCATGCCCCTCCCCGTTCACTTACTTACTTACTCCATAACACGTAGAAAAAATAAATCAGGATTCATTTTTTTTTTTTTTAATGATTTCTAGATGTGAGTAAAAAACTAAGAATAAAATATAAAAATTTCTCATACTGTTTGCTTTCATTCTACTAGTATTACAATAGGGTTATATTTTTCTCTCTGTGTACCCACTATCCTCTTGAAAAGCGGACAACAGAGTAGAACGTGTCGTGCTTGGCCAAGACCAATTTATTTGCCCCAGTCGGTCAGTCGGCCACGAAGGTCCAGAGCTCTGAGATCGGCTTATTGAGCGTCTCCGACGAGCAGATATGGTTCAAGGGATTCAAGGGGAGCAGCGTCCTGGGCGGCGGAACTTCTTCTGGCAAACCGTAAGCCACTTAAAGGATTACTGCGCCAATTGCTCGCTGGCCGGATTCGCCTACATTGCCAATTCCAGGTGGGTTTTCGAATCGCCTCCGCTTTGGATCGCCACCATCTGAGATTTGCTTTCGGTTCTGTAGGCTTCATATCACGGAACGCGTGTTTTGGCTAGCTTGTGTGATTATTTCCTCCTTGGGATGCTACCTACTGATCGCGGACTATCAACGCAGTTTTCCCACTAGAGCCGTAAGCATTGTGCACGAAAGTCTGCCGCCGTTTACCAAGTGGACTTTTCCCACTGTCGCCGTCTGTGAATACGTCTATAAGAACAAAATGAGTACCAGGATGGAGGAATACATACAGAGGTTGCTAATAATTAAATTGAGACTTAAGTTATAGTATAAATAGATAGTTTTTATTTAGCTTGGGCCCCGATCATGAATCAGACTATAGTTATATTGTGGAAAGCGCTATAGCAGGCATTCTATATCCCCATTCGTATAACGAGGGCGCTTATAAATCCAAATGTTCGATACCCAAGAAATGCCCAACTTGTGCAGAGTGTCCCAAGAAAAACTATCGGCTACTGGCCACCATGGTAAGTGTATAGTATAGCATTGTTGTATAACGATTGGTAATTAGAATCTAAATATACATATTTTTTACAAGTACGGAGGAAATTGCACAGAGTTTTTTGTAGAGTGCAAGCTTTCCGGGAAACCCTTCGACTGCTGCCGATACTTTCTGTCGATGTTTACGCCGTATGGTCGCTGCTTCATGCTCAATTCGCTGCAGAACAATGAACCTGGCTCGAGGCACTGGCTGCCCAATAAACTGGATCCCGCCGACCAGAAGGCCCACATGCAGTTGGTTACAGTCTCTCCGATTTACGTGGCTCTAATGAATGCAGAGGATGTTCCGCACACAGGATTACTACCAACTGGAACTCTTGCCTCGAAGCAGGGCGTCACCAAGGTGTTTTATTTTAATCAGATGAGGATGAAGAACGATCCGGATGTGAGGGAGGTCGAGCCGAAGGTGCGCAGCTGCCTGTTTCCCGACGAGAACAAGCCGTCGAGTCTTTACAGGGTCTATAGCTTCAACTCCTGCATCATCGATTGCGCCAGGGAGCGGCAGTTTAGGCTGTGCAATTGCACCTCGTTCCTGATGAATCCGGAGGCAGACCCGCGTTTCCCGGACTGCGATCTGGAGGGATTCTACTGCCTGGAGGGCCACTCAGCCATGAGGCCGGATCAGACGTTGTTGGTTAAGAACAACAAAGAGGGCGGTTGCAACTGCCTGCCCTCCTGCAACGATGGCGATATCAGTGCCGTTTACGATGATGTATACTCGTATGTATCTAGACTCTTCTTAGTAATATTAAATTTAATGTTATAATTACACATACGTGAAGATATTTAAAGCTTCTATTACTTCTTTCAATAGGTTTGACAGAAATGGCCAGTTTTTTAACGTGTCCGTTTCTATGCCCGCCCCTCCAACGGATCAGTTTCGCCGGCAGGCGCTTCGTACTCGTCTGGACGTCGTGGTCTCCATGGGTGGCATGCTGGGACTCTTCCTGGGGGCCAGCATCCTCAGCGGTATCGAGTTTGTCTACTACTTCACTGTGCGTCCCCTCACCAACATCCTGCAGGCACGCTGAGTTCGTGCGTAATTGGTCAACTGCCAGCGGCGTATCGAACGTCACTGCAAGAAGTTTATGGAAAAAACTATATCAATTCAGAAAATGCACTTTATTTAAGGATGTGTTGGAATACATTGTGAGGTACATTTTTCAATTTTTGATCTCTAAAAATATTTATTTATATTTATTCAAAAATTAATCAGTATCTTACCAAGAGCTTACGATTCGCTTATTGAAATGTTTTTTATATAATATACATAAATATTGTAGTCTTTATAAATGAAAAATAAAAAATCAAAAGTAATATCCATATTTTAAGAGTGTATTTGCAGAGCGAGCCAAGAAGAATGGGTTGAAGACAAGGACTGGAATATAGTCCTTCCAAGTAGGATGTGCCTTGACCTCGGGACAACCGGCGTATGCGCAATTTAAAAATTTTATTAAATATTTGCTCGGCTCGGTCACTGCAATGCGCATTAAAAATGCAACCATGGCATGCCGTCAGGATGCCAAGGATATTCGTACCGAAATGCGATGCCATGCGAGCCAAGTGTGAAACTGAAAATCAATGGAACTCGCAATTTGCACAGTCAGCAAACGCCTTTTGGCGACAACTGAAACCATTTTGCACACATTCATATATTTATGTATGTATATATATACAGTTTCGTATGGATATTTGTGTTGCCTTGGATTTTGGCCACCTCTCAAGCTTGTTAACTTTTTCAGTGGCCGGATTCATGTTGTTTAGTTTTAAATATTTAAAACAACACAATAAAAATGTGCCCTAAAAGCAAACGGGAGAAGTGTAATCACATTTATTCTCGGCCAAAGGCCCTTTCCTTTTGCCTTTTGCACTTTCTGGAATTGTTGCTTTTGGTCACCTCCACAAAGGTTAATTAATTATGCTCTACACCAATTAAAGAGACACGAAATGGGCCTAAGCTTTTAGCGACTGGAAAACTCGAGTGAAATGGGCTTAAAACGGAATGTAGCACACTTTGGGAATTGGGTCGTTGGGAATATTTGAGAAGCCCATTTAAAACTAATTAAACATTAATGAGTACAAACTAAAAGCGTAGACTTATAAAAACAAGCATACCACATGGTAATATTAAAATTATTTAAATTAAAACGGAAACAAAAAACTATAATTAGCATTTAATTAAAGAGCATTTAGAGACTTAATAAAAACGAAATCAACACTTTTTTTCCTACTGAGAGAACCCAAAGAAACAGAATAAAAATCTCTGCCCGCAACTCGCCGCAAACTCATAAATAATACTCTCGCCTTTTCATGCGTACATATATTTATATATGTATGTATATTTTTTTTCTGACTTTCTTTGAGGATTCCTTTCCATTTCATTTCATCCGCAGCCGGGACTTTGCCTTTTGCTTTAACACATTCATGTCCCGCACTCGTATTTATGGTGCATTTGTATTTGGTTTATGATGGAAACCCCCTCGCTCACTCAAAGGTTTTCCCCCAACAAAGCGGCCAAGGGGGGGAGGTCAAACGAATTGCCGACCCGAGTGCAGTGAAAGTGTAGCACCAGCAACAATGTTAACCGTATCTGCTCGGGAAAAGTTAGCCAGGACATTGTTGCCAGTGCTGGCTGTATCATTTATCAAGCTCAGCGAAAAAAAGAGGAGAAATGACGGAAGGACGGCAAAAACAACAAAAAAAAAAACCAAAAAGACTAAAACAGAAATAAGGAAACGAGAACATTTTTGTCATGTTAAACTGTCAGAGTGCGCATTTAGTCATTACTTATATTTTCTGCTTTTCCGCTCGCACTTTTCCTTGGCTGTCAGTCTCATGGAAATGCAGCATACACACACACACCGACACCGACGACCATCCACACCCACGTACCTCCGCATGTCACACACTTGGGCGAAATGTAATTAAAACTTGCCATGCAAGTCTGCGGTTGAGCTTGGCCATTAGCATAACGCTGAAAAGTATGCTACGCTACGCCATGTATAATTTAAACGAAACACCGCATCGTCATTTATCAAAACGGCTCGCAAAATGTTAATTATTATGTTTTATTGCCTCCGAAAGTCAGAGAGCGGTGCGGTGCCTCTTTTGTGATTTTATTTCAGCGTTTCCCTGTGATTTAGCCGGACAGTTTGAAATATGCTGCCGGCATGTGGTCGGATGACCGGGCCAAAAACCATGATTGCACGCCGGCAACTTAAATCATTTGTCGGCTGACAGGCACACACACGCCAGACTTTTATGCATGCATAAAAATATAATTGTATAATGCTTTCCGGTCATTGATTTAAGCGGCGCCAAAGAAGCCAGCTGCCCTGAACAAGTTCGAAATAATTAAAATTCAAATAACTTCATTAAAATTTAATTCGAATGCCAGGGAATTGCCAGTAAGTGGGCTGGCTCTTGGCTGCATTTCAATTGCAGCAATTGAGAATTGCGAATTGCCAATGGGAAGCGCTAAAATAAGCAATTGCCGGCGAACTCCTGAAAAGAAACCATCAAGCGGAATGGGCGAGAGGCGGCAAGGAGGAAAACTTCAGTTTTTCTTCTCTCTAGGTAGCGGAGGAAATGGTAACTATTTTTCAATTACCTTTTTCGCACGCACGTTTGCTTAGCATTCGGTTCTTTTGATCAAGATATTTGCCAGCGATGGCAAAGTCAAGACATCCTTGGCCGTGCTCAAGCCATTTGAGACTCTATTGAAAGAGATCCCGGGCTTTGAAACGAGTATTTTTCTATAATTAAATAGCCATATTTCTCGGCAAAATAATAGAAAACAGGAATTTTTTTAAATGCACTTTAAATCGAATAGAAAATATCAATCTCCCCTAAATAAACATCATTCAATTGTTATGCCAGCTCTTCATTTTCGTGTTTATTTTCCATCGCTTTTTTTGTGTGCCATCCCAATGCCAGCATACACCGAAAGGAAACTTACTTATTTTTGTTCTATTTCTGTTAAGTTGTTATATATCTGAGGCATATTTCATTAGAATATTGATCAATACTGAATAAATTACATTTGAATACTTCTTCGGATGTGGTATCAATGACTTTTATTACCTGAAATGAGTGGCATTTTTTTCTGTGCAACCATGGACATGGTTGGATGTGTTAAGTGTTTGTAGTTAGTAGTTTTTCAATCAGCGTGGCACGCCCACACATCCACAATAGCGGAAACGCCCCAGCAAGCTCTGCCAGTGTTAACAATTGCCTTCTCTGCAGGAAAACGCTTTTTTCTCTCTTTTAAATTTCCCCTAAGCGGAAATCTATTTAAATTGAATTCTATTCTTCGGGCCTGCAACTCATGCTGAGGTGCATCCTTGTGTCTGCTCCTCGGTTTGAAGTTTTGAAAACTTTTGCGCCCAGCAGATCGCACTCTACGCATTGCGAATTATATTAAATCCCTGGCTGGCATTTCCATTTCAATGGATAATCATTATGAGCGTGAGCTGCTGTTTCTTCTAGAGCTTCTGCTGTTGCTGACGGCACTTGCTGCCATACAGCATTGTTGCCATGGAAGCCATTTTGCAGCAACGATTCTTATACTTATATACGGATATAGGGACGCCCGGACGGACCCGCACATGCTTGTGGATATTATGCATTTTTCACACATTTGTGTAGCATTTGATTGTGCTCCGTCTAGGTGTAAATACTTGCCTCTGGCATTTGCACAATGTTGCACAGCGCACCGTATGAGTAATATTTATTCACGCTCTGCCTTTGTCTGCCTTGATGGTGTTTGTGTGAGCCGGAGCATTCAGCATATGCCAAGGAGCATAAGCAGGAAATTCATTTTTCATTTGTTTGCTCAAAAAGTTCCGAGCCGAGTTGCCGAGCGATGAAGATGCTGCCGCTATCGCTGCCACTGGCTCCACATTATAAATATTCATCATACGCCAGCGTGCCCGAGCGGAGCACTTATTATACACAAATTAAGGCAAGGCATGAATTTTTATCTTTTTTGAATTTTGTTGTTTTGGTTTTTTTTTTGGGAGGGCGGGAGCGACTACCGAAAACAAATTTGAAATTCCAACTAACACCCGACGCGCTGAGTGAAAACGCATTGCAATTGCTTTGCCAAGGCAGTTCGACGGCCTTTCTAGCCGCAATGTCACACGGAAAACAATAGGTGATAGCAAAATGAATACATATCAAGTTACTTTAGGATTTCATGATATACTGCAAAGTACTCTTTAACCACTTACAATCAAGTGACCTAATTTACATTTATATTGATATTTTTTTCACTGCACCCTTACTTTGTTCAGATGGCCATAAAACATCAGCTGTTTTACGCACGGCATTTCGCAAATTTATGTCTTCAAAAGAGTTGCACATGCACAAGAAGTATACTATATGTGAAATATGAATACATGGCAAACTTTATAGTGCCGCTTATGCATATAGCCTGGGTCCTTGAGACGAGCCGTCTGCCTGCTGTATCCACACTCCTTTCCCCTTTCCCATTTCTCCTTTCTCCAGTCCGCCGACTGATGGCAAAGTGCGCGACTTGTTTTGGCAAGTGTTTTCTACACTGGCTTTCCTGTTGCCAGAAATAGTTGAATGGCTCAGCGGCGGGATGGTTAACTTGGCTCGGTTTCTGGGCTGTTATCTTGAGTTGAGGCTGCTTTTGCAAAAACTCTTGCAGCGCTCTCAAAATATTGACTAGTTTTGAATGTATTACCCAACTACTTGGGCATGATATAGCCGAAAGTTTCTAGTTGCTGTAGAGCGGCAAGACAGGTGTCTTGTCTATCGCATGTTGCATGAAATTTTTAGAAGTTCCTAAAGCAAAACCGAAACGCTTTATTTTTGGCATTCCTGACAGGCTTTTTGAATGCCGAGCACATATACTTTGCAATAAGTGATGGAAATGGGGTCAGCCATTTATATTTTTGCAGACAGACAAAATGAAATGCAATAACAATATTTTCCTTAATTAACATACATTTTATAGTGAGTAAGGCCAGACAAGAATTTGTATTCATGTGCGTTTCGTGGCATA